AACATTACTTCTTGCTGAACCTTTGAACAGAAGGCAACAGAACTTGCATTATGTAAGATGGGTTATGTACTAGTTTGAAAAGTTAACATAGTGAGCTATGTTGAGAAAAATCTTTTCTGAGACATTTTGTGGAGTTGTGTTCAGGTTCTAAGCTGTAAAAAATTGTCACAGTCTATGCATTTATAATTTTATTGCTCTATGTGTTATAGAAAGTAAAATCAAATGCATTTCTTTGTCGAAATCACACCCAAAGAATTTTCTGGATTAACCAATGAGATTACTGTCATTTGCACTATTAACACTATAAGGACTGCACAGGGTAGCAAAATGCCACAGTGTATACTTTACCTGAGGCCCTGCCAGGGTAAATTCAGACCAGCGACATGGCCCAAAAAGTAGGAACTGCGTGTAATATGAAATCGCGACAAGAGACGACCTCCCTCGGCCAAATTGTGACAGTGACAGCAAAGCCGACAATAAGCGACAAGCATTTATAAACACCGAAAGGAGACGTTTTAAAATTCAGATGGGTGACACCGACCCCCACCCCCTGGCAGGGCCTCTTACCTTTTATTTCCCAATATCCACATGCAAATTCTCCAGAATGCTCTCCATACTTTTTCTTAAAGAGTTATTTAGGAGAATTTGATAGAAGATCAAACATTCCCCCTTGCATGGTGATCATTTTGTCAATTCTTAGAATCTTTTTGCTTTATTATGTATTGAAATTTTTAGGAGAAAATTGACCTTGGTCACTTTTGGAGCTTAAAGGTGCATTGGAAAGCCCTATTATTTAAATTTACTTTCCACACTCATTTAATCATTGATTGTTACCTATGACTTCAATAAAATGCCTGACTTGGACGAGTAGTTTGCCAGTGGGTTGAAGATCAAGCTGTATAATATAAAAAAAAAAAATAAATGAAATGAAATTAAAACAAAATGCGATTTTTTTACAGCTGGCAGTATAATGATGATGACATTGTTAAAGGAGACCACACTTGAAAATGGCTATAATGTGCACCCAGTAACAGACATGTCTAATAATAAACACAACCTTTCACTTTAATTTTAGATTGACATCTTACTTCAAATGGTAACCCATGCATGTAACTGAATGGTGCCAGTTTCTTCAAATGTGTGGTCACAGAAAACATACACAATTGGCTGATGGAAGGTCAACAAAGGAGGGGGGATAAACCTACATGCAATAATGTGAAATTTCCAACAGGGCAGGTGAATTCAAACCAGTAAAGCCTCATAGGGGAGTAGACATACAGTACTTGCCAAGTCTTATGATGGAATACAAAGCTCTGCTACTCGAAGAAAAACTGTAAGGATCTGAACCCAGTGCCCCAAACCCATGAAATCCAGGGTGCCCAGCCTAGATTTTCGCTTTTCATATAGCCTATGTGGTGAACATTAATGCACTTTTATAGTTTCACAACTGCAGAGAAAAGTATTCCTGTAACATGCATGTTGTGTATGGGTATACACGAGGATAGAAAGTTTGTGTCTCCAAGCAGCCATGTCATGTTCCATTTACTATACAAACACAAATGAAATGCCAAACCATTTCACTTTAATACTACTTTGCTGCGAAAGGTATGATTTATTTTGTAGCCATAGCAATGGTGATCTTTCCACATGTGACAATAACTTGTTAATAATTCATGTTTGCATAATTAGTAACAACTTTATTGCCTTTATCTTTGACACGAAGATTTCAGTACCAAAACAATGACAAATGAAAAAAGTAAAATAAAAGTTAAGTACGAAAAAAAGGAACAATTGAATATTATCATAAAAGAAAAATTACTTGGCTATGTACGACTTCTATGCTACTCATATGGTAAGAAAGTTTAATTAGAGTTCGGATGCATAACAATTTAGAATATTTTCAAAAAAAAGAGGCACTGAGATTTATGATGTTTTCATCGCACATATAGACATGATATATAAAAATAGTGCCTTGCATACCCTGGTCCCAGAGGTTTTTCTTGATTTTTCTTCGCGAAAGAGATCAAGAGCAAACCGCGAAGCGGCGACAACGAGTCGCGAAAGCGACGAGGAGAGAGAGAAAAACCTCTGGTTACCTTGGCCTCGAATCTCACTTCCATGCTGACGACAGGGTCAGGATCTGACCCTCGGGCGTTGATTGGTTGATAGTTTTTCAAACGCGCAAAACCAATTTGATTGGCTCGTTTAATTGTAACTATCGAGGGACGCTGAGGATTTTCACACCTCATTTTGCCCTCTCTCTACTAGGGAAGAAAATTGTTTGTATGCTGCACTCGCAATAACATTTGCACGGGACCAAGGCACGAGAGGCACGCCATGGATGTTGTTCCTGAAAGAATATTCAAGAAATTTTGACCTCGGTACTTAATGCGCTTTCCTGAATCTCACTGAGCAACAAAAAAAGCTTTGTTCGCCGTTGAGTCGAAAGGATGTGTTCACCATTTTATCAACCGGACATGGAAAGTATATTTTCTGTTACAATACTGTCATTCCATTAAATAAACTAACTTGTTTAGGGCAGTAAAAAAAAATCTCCGAATCACGGAATGAAAGTTTCCTTGTAGGAAAAAAAAACATACAACTTTGTACAAGTACATAATCATTTTCGGTGCAGCTTGATTTTCCTGCGACGCCCAAAAAAGATCTAACCGACGCTATTTTTTGGCATAGACCTATTCGCTAACTCAATGTTCTACCCAATCCAAATCTCCGGGGATAAGATTCTTTGTGTATTGCATTTGCATTATAATGTGGCATTCACATTTAAATGATATGGAAATTCCTGAAACAAAACGTTTTATTCTCAAAGGGTTTGAATTCGGTACATTGAGTTAGCCGAATAGGTCTATTGGGCCAACAAAAACCTCTGAAAGTACATTCCGAACCTTAAGGGTTTGTTGTGCTGCATGACTCTTCCTAGCGTCGTTGTTCCACAAAAAAAAAAAGGAAATGGAGCCACCAAACCAAAATGCGAGCCAGATTGCCAGAATACATATTAATATTACTATTTTCAGGGGAATGCCCGCGAATCGACGCGAACGGGCGCGCCCGCGAGAAGTAAACAATGTAATAAGCGCGATTGATAGACTCTTGCAAACTTTACAACTTCCCCCTGGCACACTGCTGACAGAACAGATGACAATGTTTGTGAAAAATCCTTGTTATTATACCCAAATAAATTCTGCAAATCCTGCAGCATTCGTTTGGAACAATGTCGGTTTCTTTATAAAGTGGTCTTCTTATTCCTGGACTCTTGTCGCCCATCGTTAACACATGCTTTAGCTTGACCCCGATTAACAAATCACTCTTTACCACCCAAGTGAAGATGGTTTGTTCATAACATAATTTCCCCAGGTCTACCCCCACTTAAAAAAATAGCGGCTGATAAGCACGTGTTTGCTAAGTTGCCATTGGTCACTCTTTTTATTAGCAATTTGACGCGTTTGACAGCCGTCGTCTGCATGAAAGTGAGATTCGAGGCCAAGGTAACCAGAGGTTTTTCTCTCTCTCCTCGTCGCTTACGCGACTCGTTGTCGCTGCTTCGCGGGTTGCTTTTGATCTCTTTCGCGAAGAAAAATCAAGAAAAACCTCTGGGACCAGGGTATGCCTTGCAAGACATATGCGTAAAATTACTGTTTATAGAGTATAGGCTCTCCAAGAAGATTTTACCCCTTATGTGAGAAAGTGATGAGTGGGTACATTTCAACAAATGGTGGAATTCATCACCAATTTCGGATCTAATAATAACATGACTTGTGCTTGAAAGCCCACCTGGTATTCCATTAGTGTTTATATAATAAATCCAGCTATTGGACCAGGATAACTTGACAATATAAATGAAATAACAGCCAAAGATACCGAAGGAAAAATATATCACGACCCGGCTTCATTTAAAATTAATTAAATTTATAATTGAAAAAATGAAGTCCATTAAGAGTTTTACAAAGCATTCTTCTACAAGTACAATCGCAGATGCAATCAAATTTAATATCAAAGCTATTGATTTCAACTGACAATGACAATAATTGACTGTCGACAAAAGGAATAAAGTGTCGAAAAATTGGTGATTAAAATAGAAAATCTAATTATAGTGAATAACCAAAGCGACCGTTCTTCGACTGATAAATGTTTAAGGGTCTACCGTTATCGCAGTCAGTAATACAGAATCCACGCAAGTTGAACTGAACAAATGATACAGCTTAACGTCAACTATTGATTAATGTATACGACGTATGCAAATGCTGCTTCGAATCTTGATGATTTCCATTCTATGCAAGCTGTTTCTTCGTTTGTGACCAAAACACTCCACTAGCTCTTTCGCTTCTCAAGATACATGTACTTCTTACAACTGTTTTAAGATCAAATTTTCAAAAAACTGGATAGAGGAAACAAGGAAATCGAAACTACAGTTAAGTTAAAGTGCATGTTCGTCTAAAACGTACGAATCAACAAATGTTATTTTGATATTATGAATTCAGTCTATTCGGAGACAAGTACGAGACATGCGCTTTCTGTACAAGATTGATTGCTTTTTATAGCCTCCCACAGTGCCAATATGTAACATACTTTCTAACGAAAAATACTGTACTGTAAAATGCATCCAACTTACCCAAACGCTAGAAAATCCATGAGTGTCACGTTTACATTGATCGACTAAAAACTGAACTCCGATGGAAACTTCGGCAATGACTCTTCCACTTGGCTTTTGTAAAACAACGATCGTTATGACGCGGCCATCGTAAAGATGAGTGTCAAAGCATTTATTCCACTCAGGATAGATAGTCTTTTTCTTCTGAACCAAAGAGATCCCTTGGGTTGCAGACATGACTGCTTCTTTTATGTGCACAGCACAATAAGATTCGAATGGATGCGGATTTTTCGACCAGCTAGCCGCCGGTTCCACCTCGATCAATTTTACTCGTATAAATCCCATGTTCACGCCGCCGTTTAATCCCCAAAACCTCAATCACTTTATCCTGCCTTGTAAAATCTAAGCTACCGACATCTCCTCGAATTTATACGTGCCTTGCTTCCGTTCAGCAATTCCAGGAATAACGACTGCCGCAAATTTATCCTCCGTGACTTAAATTCGAGCGGTGACTTCACTTTGACCAGACAATAAACCGTGACAAGCCCCCGTGACAGCAACCATATATGGCCTGTGGCGTCTAAATTTGGGCGTGAAATATTATGAAATCATTACTTCCGGGGGCGTTTTGGAGGCTTTTTGCGTCAAACGAGCTGAGGTTTACTTTTTGTTGACGTGTATTTCCTTGTGACTAATACATCAGATCCGGAAATATAAATGAAAATTGTATTACCATGGATTGATATCAACACTTAAACACAAAGCATTTTTCGCGAGAAATCTTTATTAAAATAAAGATTTCTCTTTTGTGCATTTTTCAATGTCAAGGTTGATTAACTTTAGACTATCACACCCATTCTGATCCATTCTCTGTGGCTGTTAAGTCAATAGTTCTGTTCAAAATGCCTTGATAAGACCTAACTTGGCTTTAGTTACAGCCGAAAAACTCTTATGAACACAAATGAAGAAACATGGATGTCTGATTAGCAAACTATTGAAGAATTTGGGATGGCCCTGCGGCGCACGTGCCACGCGGCTTACGAAAGTCACTTAGCATTTTAGGTTTGATTACTATCTAATATTCGCAGAAAGTCGGAAATTTCAACAAGGTCAAGTTATAACACGTGTACTTTGCGATCTTTAAGCTGAAAGGTACTTTAAAAGAGGATCACTCGCACAAAGATTTTTATTGGTCAAAACTTAGTGTACCGGACACAGATGACGTAAAATAAAAGACCTCTTACCTTTGTTTTCTGTTCAGGGAAAAATCTGCTCGGTATTGTTTCCTGGTTTTTGTTTTTTTTTGTTTTACGTCATCTGTGTCCGGTACTCGAAGTAAATGCGTTATTTATTTATTTATTTATTTATTTAACAGAACCGGCCGATTGGGACTGGTACTGGATAAGTTTATTTGGACGGTTTGTTTGATCTTATACGTAGTATAAACCTATTGGCAACGAGCAAAGGTTGCAACGAGCACATTGTTCATGTACGACAGCTCTGAAGTTCATTGTCGTGCTTGTTAATTGTTAGGATAATCTTCAGCTTAGTACGCTTATGGAAGATGATTTAATATTCAAGAGGGGGTCAATTGGAACTCTATTTTTCTTTTAACTGCAGCGGTGTCGCGATGGTAACGCGAGAAGATGCCGGCAAACCTCGAAAGCTCGTTTTACATTTGGACGTGAATAAAGCAATTTTCATCGGTGATTCCATTACAAAGTCTTTGACACCCGAACAGGCTTTGAATGAATATCTCACTGATGTAGCTTGGGGGGAGGTTGGCCAATCTGGAGAGTGGATCGGTGATCATAGCACATTATATGAAAGACAGCCGAAAGAAAACATGGTCTCCTATTACAGATACGCTCAAGCCAAGTATAGTGGGCAACCAAGAAGCGAGTTTAAAGGCCACATCCGGAAATTTACCGAAGAAGAAGTTGGACAGCCATTCAGACAATTTTATGAGAATATGATGGATGCGCTCAAATTCCCCGGGAACATCAGAAGTTGGAAAGGTAACGATCTCCCTTCTTTTGCAGACCAAAAGGGGATACAACATCATTGTATTGTGCCATCCTTCTACAAGCTTTTAGACCATTTGATAGAAAGTAAAAGGGAATTTGCTATTGTTTTTCGTACTTTTGGTGGAGACGGCCAAGTGGTACTACAAGCAACCAAAGATTACCTTGATGGAAGAAATGCTTTTGTTTGTGCAGGAGAGCCACAGCAATCCCATGTAAGTGGGGATCCTGTGGATAATTCAACACACATGGTGAATTTTACTGCAGGGAAGGTAATGCGATCAAGCAACCAAATCACTCTGAAATGTCCAGAAGATCATTTGGTGCTTTCAAATTTCTATGACATCTACAAATATTTTAGTCAAACACATGGTGTTAAGTTATTTGTTGATGATTATGAGTGGTGGAAGTCACAACATTTTCATTCGCTAGCAGCAAAGCCCCTGTTTATTGATCTTGGTGACAAATCGGTTCATCACATCCTGTTGGATGATAATTTTCGTCCATGGGAACCTGCGGACAGCATCATTAACTTATTGTTAGCAAAAGAGAGAAGTTTCACTCGTGTAGATCCCGCAACATTTGATAATGTTTGTGTGTTTAAGACTGATCTTTACCAGAGTATTTGCAACAGAAATTATTTAATTGATAAAATTGAGTTGTGTGAAAGAAATTATAATAAGATGATTTCAGAAAAGAATGAGTGATGTCAACTTAAATAGTTCTCTCTGCACTGACTGGTACCTTATTTATACTAATCCATAATTTTGTCTGGTTCATTGTTTGTCGAACAATAAATTACTGTAAACTGGACTGTCTCTGAATATTTTTTTTATTTCAAGGACAAGTTGGGTGGCAAATACAAGATTTGCCAAGACTTTGAGCTCCCAAGATCCATTCATTACCAATGCTTCAGAGATTTAGATCTAGAGATCACCACAAGCCTACCAGGGATACCCGGCTCAGTTAAAGACCCATCTAGCTGTAAAAAAAACAATTTGTCCGATTATAAGATCCCCCGGATATAAACCCTCCTCTAGCTTGTATTGAAATTATCCTACGTGTAGGCTATATTGAAATGAGTTCGTTTTATTTTAAAGTTTTGAAGCTCGATTAAGACCAGTGAATGCAAAGCGTATTTTGATCATCACTGGGTGATTGCTTGTTTCATAATGCTTTTTCCTTTTTCTATTCCGGTGAAAAACCCATTATTAAAACCTCATAAAACCCCTTATGAGGATAAATAAGCCCAATATATGAGCCCAGATAAGAAGCACACTGTAAAACCACTGGACCAGGAAGGGGGGGGTAGGGTGGGAGCCCGTGTGATTTGGTGGGAAAAGCTAAGTGAACAACCGAGATGGATGTGTCAAGGGGACTTTAAATAGCCTGCGGTGCAGCCGGCCCACGTATCACATATAGTGTGGATATAAACAAGGTTTAAAGTGTCTGCGCGCAGGCTAACTTTAAAGGAATATGAAAAATGTGGTTGTCGATTTATTAAATTGTACCGTTGGCCGCTGGACACATGTAAATGTGATGTTTGTGTCCTTGGTTTAGAAACAATGGCTCCTGAAACAGAAAAGTGATCTTCAAGAAAATCACCTTTAGTTAGTTAGTCAAATCAAATCAATAAGCTAATGTTAAAACATGTTAGTTATCAATGAGCAATTACATAGGAATTTTCAGCCTGTTACCCCAACCCCGCTTCACCCTACCCTCCCTGGATTCGTAACATGATTGTCAGCGGAGGCTCCCAATCAAAGACAAAAAAGATGGCGGCTGAGACGTAGTTTGTTTGTTTCCTTCGATGTAGAAGATGATAAATAAACTGCTGTCATTAAATATTGCTTAGCAGAGAAAAACAAGGTGAGTAGTAAGGAGATTCTGATTTTTAAAACAAAAAGGAATAGCCAACTGTGGAATCGCTGTTTGATAAAAATCGGGACGCTTGACCCAAAAGGTATTAATTGAATGCGATATTTCGGCAGTATTTTATTAATACTGAGTTTAAGTTAACAGTAGACTTAGAACTTTCAGGGAGATAAGTCAGTTTTAAGTCAATTTATCTTTAGCGTATCTCTTCGTTTTGGGTTCCCCTGTAAGGTCCAAAATTTAATTACTTAAAGTTACATGAGCTTTAAAAAAACTGCAATGACACAAATGTTCGGATATTCCAGAATCTTTAAGCTTTATTATATGTTTCGACGCTTTTCGCGTGCATTGGCGGAGTGTCCGACTTTTATTTCTTCAGTGTTACCCTAGAAGTTATAGGAAATGTGTTTAATCTTGCATAAGATAAAATTTCCACAAAAAGAAAGAAAGATAACACAGTAACTGTTTATTTGTTTTTATTTCATCGCAAAAATTATTTGAAATTATATATTATTAAGGAGAAAAGTGTTTCCTTACCCACTGGATCTTTTGGGATTTTTTTTTTTGACCAGTGGCTAGTTCTCATGGGCTATTGATTGATTCCACTTACTAGCCGAAAAAATGTTAGTGTCGAGCACTGTAACCCTAAGCCTGGAAAATTAGTGCGCTGTTTATAACTTTTTAATTGACATTTTAATTGCAATTTGACCATCTTCTTATGACAGTGATGATGGTGATGACGATTATGTATCTTAGTCATTTATGATGGTTAATCATTGATTATACAGGGCTTCCGATATTTTGCACGGTCGCGGAGCCGTGAAATTCAGGTAAATCCGCAAAATCCCGCGAAATTCACAAAAACACGCAAAATACCGCGAAATTCGGTAGAAATCTTATCAAATTCATGTCTGTACAGCAATTTTGAAACTTCTCTCACCTACTGGATGTCTTTACTTACCGTAAACCCCCAAATTTATGTCAAAACGTCTTCACTGAAATGTGCAAACGATGTTCCGAAACTACCAGGTGTAGATTATGGTGCGAAAAACTGGGTAATAGCCATGATGTTGAAGGCTTTGCCATTTGTTCATTTCTGGAGCGTATACGTATTGTTGTTGAAAGAGCAAAATAATGATGACCTCTGTTAGAGAAACATTAAAAACGCTGGTCTGATCAGTACAAAATCGATCGATTTCTAGCGAAATTTGCCCTGAAAAAAATCCGCCATGTTTTTACCGATTGTTTTCTGACCAAGTTTGCCCAGAAAATTCCCGTGAAATTGGCCGATTTTTCCGTAATTTTGTCCCTAAAAATTCCGCGAAATGTGACTTTTTTTTCCACGACCTATCAGAAGCCCTGATTATATGCTGTTTCCAATTTTGTTATTTTGAATCCCATACTGAAGACTATCTATACTGATATTCTTATAGTCAGCACTGAAAAATGGCATTCTTGGATGATCCCGAGTTTATCATTGCTCATATTCGTCACTCCTGCGTCATCACCGATGATACCGGTGAGTATATGCATGTATAAAGTGTAACATTATGGAGGCGTGTCGGTAAAATTCCTACAAACAACTTAGTCTTGAAAAATAGCAACTTAAGATAGATTAAATGGTGTCAAACAGTTTAAACATGGGTTGAAACTGCATCGGTGGCAAAGAAAGTGCAAATACAGTAGACCCCAAAACAGCCCTGCCGCACTCAATCAGCACATGCGAGAAAAAAACTTCTGGTTCCCCTAGGGCTAGGACTATTACACAGCAAGTGTAATTTGTATAAAAAGTGATAAGTTCAGGGTGAAAATTGTTGTGTTTCCTTAATTAACATGATAATTCTGTTTTTACATGAGGCATGTGTGAACAAGTGATAATGAATGAGGAATTGGAGAATGAAAAAGCAATCAAGCAGCGGAAAAAACTCATTGGGAGATATTCTATTGACAGGTTAGCATATTTTGTCATTTATAGTTCACAAGTTTACTTGCGTTGACTGCAGCATTTTAACCAATCCCATTGGAGATCAGGCAGAAACTTGTTATTACATTAGACCAAGTCATAAATTAAAGCTTCACTTATACTTCAACGGAAAAGGGAAAAGAAAACATTTTTTGTTTATTTGTGTGCTATGGTAATCACCAAAACAAGACACATTTTAGCTTTTTAAAATGATATTAATAGTAAAAAGCTTTCAAGCTTTTGATGTTATAAAATGTACATGTAGCCCCTTTTACATACTAACTGATTTACAAACACCTTATGGTTTTTAGGGAATTCCTGGACTTCCCAAGTTATCCACAATCATTTGATATTGCAGTAAGCCCAGATATTCTCAGTCTAAGGAATTCTAAATCACAAGGAAAGGGTGATCGTGGTAGGAGAGAGAGGTACAATGTTAATAAACAGTATTGTTTTAATGGCAAGAGTGTTGTTTTTCAGGAACTTGCTACATTAACACATAGTTAAGCAAGGTAGCAAAGTTTAATGAGTTTGCTAATGTCCCAAGAAAGCTCAACCAAATTTGGACATTGTCTTGTTGGCTTTTGAATCTGCTCAGCAGTGATTAACATATCCTTTTGAAGATGAGTAACTACATGTAAACCCCATTTACACGTGCTAAAAAAATCGGCATGGCACGCCAAATTTTTGGCACAGTGCTGACGATTTTAAGGCATAGCACTCCTAATTTTCGACGAGTAAACGTATCGGTCCCAAATGTAATGTGGCACCAGTGCTCAAAATTTTAGGGGTGCCGAGATTACCTCCTGGAGGTAGTGCATGAAAGGGTAGGGTTTTCACAAGTTGAATTTTATGAAAGGGGTATGGAAATCTGTCATTTTAATCTGCAATTAGACCCAAAAAGGATAACAGATGCATTTTACTGCTGGGACAAAGTTGACGAAACATTCCAGTTTTGTGATTCACCTGTATTCATATTTTAAGAAAGTGGATTTACAGCAGTCAAATGTAAAGTTTTAAACTAGGTATGTGGAAGGGGTATCACTTGTCAATAGAAGGTATAAGAATGGGCTACCTTTTCTTTCAAAAGGGCATATAAAAGGATAAGGGGTCAGACCTCAGGTTGGGAGGGGGGGGAGGTTAATGATGGACTCTTGTGAGATGGCTCTAACTTTTCAGTCTTGCTGTGTGACCATTCACTTCGTTGTCACCAAGATTTCAAATTGGCGTTAGAGTAAACAAGACAGTACATTTGTAGGAGGGGAAATCAAGCAGCTAGATTCTAATTTTCTTCTATTTTCCTATGGAAGTAGCTAGAAGAAATCCCTGACCCCTGATCCTCACAGCCTGGTGTTCAAATCAAACCTCTTTGTCATTACATTTCAAATGGTACATGCAGTACTATTTTTTTTTCATTACTTTCCTATAAATGTAAATTGTGAATGAAATTTGAATTTTTTCTCTCAGTTTGACATTATAGTCACATCGGGAAGTGAAAGGGTTGGAGTAAAGGAAATAGGTTTTAAGATTTGATGCAAAGTTGGACTAAATCTTTGTGGTGGCCAACCAAAATTATTGTGACTTACCAGCTCTTTGGACTTGTATGATTGTCCTTGTTATCTACACCCATTAATGAGTAACTTGTGCCTTTTTTATCTTTAGGAATACAGAAGTAAAATGCAAGACTGTGTCATGGAAGGAGGGTGAAAAAAGTACTTTGAGTGGTATGTGTTGAGTTTTTAGATCCCTAAGAGAATGTGTCGCAATATTGAGGCAAAAGTAACAGCTTTCATTTGACTGGTCCTGAGATCATTTCATTCACCTGAGTAGTCCCAGACGTCACTATGTGCAGGCAAAAAAGACTGTCTTATGTAATCTTGTTTCTTTTTTTGTTTTTTCAGCTGAAGATTTGTCTGATGTGTTTGGTAAGAGGGAAGTAAAACAAGAGAAAAGTAAGACAGTTGCAGTTTCTCAGCTTAGTAGACAGCTGGAGGAATCTATTGGCAAACCAAACAACCCATTCTTAGAATACTCAAAGTTTGATGGAGAGGTAAGTTGAGAGAAAAGTTTCTGGTTTCTGGTTTCTCTGCGTGACGTGTTTGATGCCAAAATAGTCTGAAATTGTTATTTTACAAATCGTCCCACCCGAGTTTATACTGTAGCACTGAGAACGTTGACATGCTGTCAACTGAAATAAGGAAAGCTCTATTACAAAACACAGCTGATAATTAATTGTCCACATTAGGTAAGCAAGGTTGACTTTCTGTGAGAATCCATTTTTTGGGTAAGAAACAAGTGTCCATTGTCTGCATGGCTTTCCGTATTAAGTGGGTTAAATCTAGTGAAACTGTAAGTGCTTTTCCCTAGTCATCCTTAGAACAGGATTAGGCTGTAATTATCAACTCTACTGAAGTTGAGACTTGGGGTTGAAAAGTGTGTACAATGTATGCTAGTGTACTGAGCTGTGAGGTAACACTTGAGGTACAGTGCAAGCATTATATTTTTGTAATTTTATCTTTTTATGGGTTTTAGGTATATAACAGATACTTTATTTTGAAGTTATTTGATAAAACTCCTATTGGATAAGTTTAGTTTCAATGCACACACTCACAACCCTAGTCTCCTTCTTAGCCCCAAGGGGCTGAGTCACACAATGCTGTGAAGGAGACCATCACAACCCATGATAAACTGCCATGTTTTCATTCTGAACTGCCTTGCATTTCAAGTAATGGGAGAATCCGAGTTACCTTTAGCTTTTGTTATAGTACATAAAATATGTTGTAAAGCCCCTCACAAGTACATGTATTTGTTAACGACCAGTGTCCCCCCCTCTCACTACATTTATCAGTGAGTAAGATATTTTGCTATGCTTTTCCGTAAGCATTGCCTTTGTTTTAAGGTCAAACAGTTTTGTCCTTGTCTTATCTTATCGCAGGCATACCAAAACTCCTACATGTATACCACCAAGAAATATAAAATTTTTTTGACCATGCAGTCAGAGGTAAGAATACTGTACTGTGTATTATAGGGAATGTGATCAACTACAGATAGGAAGCAGTTGAATTAAGATCAGTGTAAACGCCAAGAGACTCAAAAATAAATGAGCATAAGGCAAGCCTCTGCTTGCATTTTAAATTAATTAATATTTTGTGCCAATTCTTTACCGTCCTTACAGGGCTTCTGATAGGTTGCAGAAAAAAAAGTCAAATTTCGTGCGATTTTTAGAGACAAAATAGCGGAAAATCGGATGATTTCGCGGGAATTTCGTGGGAATTTTCGGGGCAAACTTGGCCAGAAAGCAATTGGTAAAAAAATAGTGGATTTTGTGGTCATTTTTGGGCAAATTTCGCTAGAAATCGATCGGTTTTTCGCTGATCAGACCGGCATTTTTAATGTTTTTCTAACAGAGGTCATCATTTTTTGCTCATTCAACAACAATACGCTCCAGAAATGAACCAATGGCAAAGCCTTTAACATCATGGCTAGTGCCCAGTTTTTCACAACATAATCTACACCTGGTAGTTTTGGAACGTTGTTTGCACGTTTCTGTGAGGAAGTTTTGAGATGAATTTGCGAGTTTACGGCAAGTAAATACCCCCAGTAGCTGAGACAAGTTTCAAAATTGCTGTACAGACATGTATTTGATAAGATTTCTACCCATCCGAATTTCGCGGTATTTTGCATGTTTTTGTGAATTTTGCGGGATTTCGCAGATTTGCCTGGATTTCGCAGCTCCGCGGCCACGCGAAGTATCAGAAGCCCTGTCCTTAGCAAAACAAAATTGTCGTTTGGCACAACGAGATCCAAAAGTAATGTACAATTAGTCAATAGAATTATTTTCAATCCCTACCCTACGCGATTTTCTTGCAGTGCATGGTACATCGTGTAATGCATGTTGTACTACATTTTTTATTAATCTTACAAACTATATTATTTTACATTAAAATTTACTTTTTCAATAGCTCATTTTAATGTGATTCAATTACTTCTTGAATTAATTTTCCTTTCATTTAGGAGGAAAGAGCCATGCCAATGATTGTTACATGTTGTACAGTATTAGGTAAGATGATCTTTAATCACATTTGAACATACCACTTTAAGGTGGAACTACTCAAACAGAAGATTATCATCACAACATTTTTTGAAGACAAAAGATTCTCAAGTTTTTTTGCAAATGGAACAATAAAATTCAAGGTTCATCTGTGCAACCGTTGAAAACTTTGAAACCATTTGAACTTACCTGAGCCCTCAGATTCATGAATGTTATTGAAACTTGAGAAACTTGAGAACCTTTTGTTTTCAAAAACCATTGTGATTGGATAATCTTCTTCCAAGTGCCCATTCTTTGAGCAGACTACGTACAGTTGTCTCTATTATAATGGACACCTTTACAGAACACACACCTCTGTAAAACAGACACCTAGAGTTGGTCCCTGCCTTTCTTTACTCCCTTTATTTGACTCTTTATAAGACAGACATTTCTCTGAGACGGACACTTAGTACTGGTTTCAAAGGTGTCTGTCTTAAAGAGAGTTGACTGTAGTCATTGAATGGCTTTTGGGGATCTCTTCTTCCAGCTAATGCCAGTGTTCAGGATCCAGTTAATGCATGTGTTCAGGATCTGATTGGACTAATCATGTACAAATACACAAGTGAAGGGCGGCAACCTCCACTGAAGGTAAAGCTTGTGTTCAAGCAGAAACTCTTGAGATATTGAAACTTGTTACTCTCATATGTTTGCTTTGTCCGATGTTTGTGAACGTTCATTTTCGCATGTACCATATTTGGAATGAGAAGAAAAGATAACTGACCAATCAATCTTCTAGAGAAAACGACAAAAAAATGGCCAAAAACGGACTGGCATGTCCCAGAAGTCTTTGCAAAAGTCTTTGCGAGAGATAACTCGGCCCAGTTCCTTTGTGCATTTGCCACTGATTTAATCAGGGACACCCAAGGACTGTTTTCTGTAAAATATATGTTCGAAGAGGCAAATGTTGCCTAGAATTTTCTGTAGTCTAAAGGTGCATCAAAATTTCTCGATGACTCTTTCATTCATGTACAACTGGGTATTACGGTTGTCGCAAGAACTGAATCAAAGACAATGGTCATGCGGATTTTTATTCATTTATTTATTCATTTTGGGCTAACAAGGAGAACAAGGGGTAACAAGTTAAGGGGTAACCTGGGGGACCAAGAAGTAACAAGGGTAACATAGGGTAACAAGGGTAACAACTTAACATGGGGTAACAAGGGTAACAAGAGGTAACAAGGGGTAACAAGGGTAACAAGGGAAACAAGGGGTAACAAGGATAACAAGGGGTAACATGAGGTAACAGGGGGTAACATGGGGTAAAAAGGGGTAACATGGGGTAACAAGGGTAACAAGGGGTAACAAGGGGTAACAAGGGGTAACAAGGGGTAACAAGGGTAATGTGGAGTAACAAGGGGTAACAAGGGTAACAAGGGGTAACAAAGGTAACCAGGGGTAACAAGGGTAACAAGGGGTAACAAGGGTAACAAGGGTAACAAGGGGTAACAAGGGTAACAAGGGGTAACAAGGGGTAACAAGGGGTAACAAGACGTAACAAGGGTAACAAAGGTAACATGGGGTAACAAGGGGTGACATGGGGTAACAAGGGTACCAAGGGTAACATGGGGTAACAAGGGTAACAAAGGTAAAAAGGGGTAACAAGGGTAACAAGGGGTAAAAGGGTAAAAAGGGGTAACAAGGGGTAACAAGGGGTAACAAGACGTAACAAGGGTAACAAAGGTAAAAAGGGGTAACAAGGGTAACAAGGGGTAACAAGGGTAACAAGGGGTAACAAGGGGTAACAAGACGTAACAAGGGTAACAAAGGTAACATGGGGTAACAAGGGGTGACATGGGGTAACAAGGGTACCAAGGGTAACATGGGGTAACAAGGGTAACAAAGGTAAAAAGGGGTAACAAGGGTAACAAGGGGTAAAAGGGTAAAAAGGGGTAACAAGGGTAACATGGGGTAAAGGTAAAAAAGGGTAACAAGGTTAACAAGGGGTGACAGGGGGTAACAAGGGGTAACAGGGGTAACATGGGGTAACAAGGGTAACAAGGGGTAACAAGGGTAACAAGGGGTAACATGGGGTAACAAGGGGTAACAAGGGTAACATGGGGTAACAAGGGCAACAAGGGGTAACAAGGGGTAACATGACGTAACAAGAGGTAACAAGGGTAACATGGGGTAACAAGAGGTAACATGGGGTAACAAGGGTAACATGGGGTAACAAGGGGTAGCAAGGGTAACAAGGGGTAACAAGGGGTAACAAGGGTAACAAGGGGTAACAAGGGGTAACAAAGGTAACAAGGGGTAACAAGGGGTAACAAGGGTAACAAGGGTAACATGGGGTAACAAGGGGTAAAAAATGTAACGTGGGGTAACAAGGAGTAACAAGGGTAACAAGGGGTAACAAGGGGTAACAAGGGTAACAAGGGTAACATGGGGTAACAAGAGGAAACATGGGGTAACAAGGGTAACAAGGGGTAACAAGGGTAACGTGCGGTAACAAGGGGTAACAAGAGTAACAAGGGTAACATGGGGTAACAAGGGGTAACATGGGGTAACAAGGGTAACAAGGGTAACATGGCCTAAAAAGGATAACAAAGGTAACGTGGGGTAACAAGGGGTAAAAAGGGGTAACAAGGGGTAACAAGGGTAACAAGGGGTAACAAGGGGTAACAAGGGTAACGTGCGGTAACAAGGGGTAACAAGAGTAACATGGGGTAACAAGGGGTAACATGGGGTAAAAAGGGTAACAAGGGTAACATGGCGTAACAAGAATAACAAAGGTAACAAGGGGTAACAAGGTTAACAAGGGGTAAAAGGGTAGCAAGGGGTAACAAGGGTAGCATGGGGTAAAGGTAACAAAGGGTAACAAGGGGTAACATGGGGTAAACAGGGGTAACAAGGGGTAACAAGGGTATCATGGGGTAACAAGGGGTAACATGCGGTAACAAGGGTAAAAAGGGGTAACATGGGGTAACAAAAGGTAACAAGGGTAACAAGGGTAACATGGGGTAACAAGGGGTAACAAGGGGTAGCAAGGGTAACAAGGGTAACATGGCGTAACAAGGGTAACAAAGGTAACAAGGGTAACAAGGGGTAAAAGGGTAACAAGGGTGAACAAGGGTAACATGGGGTAAAGGTAACAAAGGGTAACAAGGGTAACAAGGGGTGACAAGGGGTAACAAGGGGTAACAAGGGTAACATGGGGTAACAAGGGTAAGAATGGGTAACAAGGGTAACAAGGGGTAACATGGGGTAACAAGGGTAACAAGGGTAACATGAGGTAACAAGAGGTAGCATGGGGTAACAAGGGTAACATGGGGTAACAAGGGGTAACAAAGGTAACAAGGGGTAACAAGGGGTAACAAGGGGTAACAAGGGTAACAAGGGTAACATGGGGTAACAAGAGGTAACAAGGGTAACAAGGGTAACATGGGGTAACAAGGGTAACAAGGGGTAACATGGCGTAACAAGGGGTAACAAGGGTAACATGGGGTAACAAGAGGTAACATGGGGTAACAAGGGTAACATGGGGTAACAAGGGGTAGCAAGGGTAACAAGGGGTAACAAGGGGTAACAAGGGTAACAAGGGGTAACAAGGGGTAACAAGGGTAACAAGGGGTAACAAGGGGTAACAAGGGGTAACAAAGGGTAACAAGGGTAACAAGGGGTAACAAGGGGTAACAAAGGTAACGTGGGGTAACAAGGAGTAACAAGGGTAACAAGGGGTAACAAGGGGTAACAAGGGGTAAAAAGGGTAACAAGGGGTAACAAGGGTAACAAGGGGTAACAAGGGTAACAAGGGGTAACATGGGGTAACAAGGGGTAACAAGGGTAACATGGGGTAACAAGAGGTAACATGGGGTAACAAGGGTAACATGGGGTAACAAGGGGAAACATGGGGTAAGAAGGGTAAAAGGGGGTAACAAGGGTAACATGGGGTAACAAGAGGGTAACATGGGGTAACAAGGGTAACAAGGGGTAACAAGGGTAACATGGGGTAACAAGGGGTAACAAAAGGGTAACAAGGGGTAACAAGGGGGTAACATGGGGTAACAAGGGGTAACAAGGGTAACAAAGGGTAACAGGGGGTAACAAAAAGGGTAACATGGGGTAACATGGGGTAACAAAAGGGGTAACAAGGGTAACACAAGGGTAACAAGGGTAAATGGGGTAACAAGGGGTAACAAGGGGTAACAAGGGCAACAAGGGGTAACAAGGGTAACATGGGGTAACATGGGGTAACAAGGGTAAGAATGGGGTAACAAGGGGTAACAAGGGTAACAAGGGTAACAAGGGGTAACAAGGGTAACAAGGGGTAACAAGGGTAACAAGGGGTAACAAGGGGTAACAAGGGTAACAAGGGGTAACATGGGTAACAAGGGGTAACATGGGTAACAAGGGGTAACAAGGGGTAACATGGGTAACAAGGGGTAACAAGGGTAACAAGGGGTAACAAGGGTAACAAGGGGTAACAAGGGGTAACATGGGTAACAAGGGGTAGCATGGGGTAACAAGGGTAACAAGGGGTAACAAGGGGTAATAAGGGTAACAAGGGTAACAAGGGGTAACAAGGGTAACAAGGGGTAACAAGGGGAACAAAAGGGTAACAAGGGGTAACAAGGGGTAACAAGGGGTAACAAAGGGTAACAAAGGGTAACATGGGGTAACAAAGGGGTAAAAATGTAACGTGGGGTAACAAAGGGGTAACAAAAGGGTAACAAGGGTAACAAAGGGGTAAAAAAAGGGTAACAAGGTAACATGGGGTAACAAAGGAAACATGGGGTAACAAGGGTAACAAGGGGTAACAAAGCGTCACGGTAACAAGGGGTAACAAGGGTAACATGGGGTAACAAGGGGTAACAAGGGTAACATGGGGTAACATGGGGTAAAAAGGGTAACAAGGGTAACATGGCGTAACAAAAATAACAAAGGTAACAAGGGGTAACAAGGATAACATGGGGTAAAGGTAACAAAGGGTAACAAGGGGTAACATGGGGTAAACAGGGGTAACAAGGGGTAACAAGGGTATCATGGGGTAACAAGGGGTAACATGCGGTAACAAGGGGTAAAAAGGGTAACATGGGGTAACAAAAAGGTAACAAGGGGTAACAAAGGGTAACATGGGGTAAAAGGGGTAACAAGAATTAACAAGGTAACAAAGGGTAACAAGGGTAACAAGGGGTAACAAGGGTAACAAAGGGGTAACATGGGGTAACAAAAGGGTAAAAAGAATGGGTGAACAAAGGGTAACATGGGGAATTAAATGGGGTAACAAAGGGTAACAAGGTAACAAGGGGTGACAAGGGTAACAAAAGGGGTAACTCGGGGTAACATGGGGTAATAAGGAGTAAGAATGGGTAACAAGGGTAACAAGGGTAACATGGGGTAACAAAGGGTAACTTGACCCTTGCTACAATGGTAACAAAGGGTTACCCCATTTACCCTCGTTACCCATGTGTTGTTACCCCATGCCTCTTGTTACCCCTTGTTACCCCTTGTTACCCCTTGTTACCCTTTTACCCCCATGTTACCCCTTGTTATTCCATGTTACCCTTTTTACCCTTGTTACCCCTTGTTACCCCTTGTTACCCTTGTTACCCCTTGTTACCCCTTGTTACCCTTGTTACCCCTTGTTACCCCTTGTTACCCTTGTTACACCTTGTTACCCCTTGTGACACTTGTTACCCCTTGTTACCCCTTGTTACCCCTTGTAATCCCTTGTTACCCCATGTTACCCTTGTTACCGTTGTTACCCCATGTTACCCCTTGTTACCCCATGTTACGCTTGTTACCCCTTGTTACCGTTGTTACCCCTAGTTACCCTTGTACCCTCTTGTTACCCCATGTTACCCTTGTTACCCCATGTTACCCCTTTGTACCCCATGTTACCCTTGTTACACCTTGTTACCCCATGTTACCCTTTGTTACCCCATGTTACCCTTGTTACCTTTGTTACCATTGTTACCCCATGTTACCCCTTGTTACCCTTGTTACCCCTAGTTACCCCTTGTTACCCTTGTTACCCCTTGTTACCTTTGATACCCTTGTTACCCCATTGTACCCTTCTTACCCCTTGTTACCCTTGCTACCCCTTGTTACCCCTTGTTACCCCATGTTACCTTTGTTACCCCTTGTTACCCTTGTTACCCCTTGTTACCCTTGTTACCTTGGTTACCGTTGTTACCCTATGTTACCCTTGTTACCCCTTTTTACCCTTGCTACCCTTTGTTACCCCTCGTTACCCCATGTTACCCTTGTTACCCCATGCTACCTCTTGTTACCCCATGTTACCCTTGTTACCCCTTGTTTCCCTTTTTACCCCATGTTACCCCTTGTTGCTCCATGTTACCCTTGTTACCCTTGTTACCCTTGTTACCCCTTGTTACCCTTGTTACCCCTTGTTACCCCTTGTTACCCTTGTTACCCCTGGTTACCCCTTGTTACCCTTGTTACACCTTGTTACCCCTTGTGACACTTGTTACCCCTTGCTACCCTTGTTACCCCTTGTTACCCCTTGTAACCCCTTGTTACCCCATGTTACTCTTGTTACCGTTGTTACCCCATGTTACCCCTTTTTACCCCATGTTACGCTTGTTACCCCTTGTTACCGTTGTTACCCCTAGTTACCCTTGTTCCCTCTTGTTATCCCATGTTACCCTTGTTACCCAATGTTACCCCTTGTTACCCCATGTTACCCTTGTTACCCCTTGTTAGCCTTGTTACCCCTTGTTACCCCTTGTTACCCTTGTTACCCCTTGTTACCTTTGTTACCCTTGTTACCCCATGTTACCCTTGTTACCCCTTGTTACCCTTGCTACCTCTTGTTACTCCTTGTTACCCCATGTTACCTTTGTTACCCCATGTTACCTCTTGTTACCCCATGTTACCCTTGTCACCTCTTGTTATCTTTGTTACCCCTTGTTACCCTTGTTTTCCCATGTTACCCCTGTTACCCCTTGTTACCCCTTGTCACCCCTTTTTAACCTTGTTACCCTCTGTTACCTTTACCCCATGTTACCCTTGTTACCCCTTGTTACCCTTGTTACCCCTGGTTACCCCTTGTTACCCTTGTTACGCCTTGTTACCCCTTGTTACCCCTTGTTACCCTTGTTACCCCTTGTTACCTTTGTCACCTTTGTTACCCCATGTTACCCTTGTTCCCCCTTGTTTCCCTTGCTACCCCTTGTTACCCCTTGTTACCCGTTGTTACCCCATGTTACGTTTGTTACCCCATGTTACCTCTTGTTACCCCATGTTACCCATGTTACCCTTGTTACCCCTTGTTACCCTTGTTACCCCTTGTTACCTCTTGTTACGCCATGTTACCCTTGTTACGCCTTGTTACCTGTTGTTACCCTTGTTACCCTTTGTTACTCTTTTTGCCCTATGTTTTCCTTGTTACCCTTGTTACCCTGGTTAGCCCATGTGCCCCTTGTTACCCCTTGTTAACAAGGGTAACAAGGGGTAAGAAGGGTGACAACGGGTAACAACGGGTAACAAGGGTAACAAGGGTAACATGGGGTAACAAGGGGTAACATGGGGTAACAAGGGTAACAAGGGTAACATGGGGTAACAAGGGTAGCAAGGGGTATCAAGGGTAACAAGGGGTAACAAGGGGTAAGAAAGGTAACAAGGGTAACAAGGCGTAACAAGGGGTAACATAAGGTAACAAGGGTAACAAGGGTAACAAGGGAAACATTGGGTAAGAAGGGTAACAAGGGTAACATTGGGTAAGAAGGGTAACAAGGGTAACAATGGGTAAGAAGGGTAGCATGGGGTAAGAAAGGTAACAAGGGGTAACAAGTGGGAAGAAGGGTGAACATGGGGTAAGAAGGGTTACAAGGGGTATTAGGGGTAACAGAATTATGTAACAATTTTTACAATACAATAATTATGTAATTATTGCACGGAAATCTTTGTTATCGTTGTAAACACATGTGTCTGTAGGTGTTCTCTTGATAATAAAGCAGTTATCGTATTCTATCCTAGGGGTAACATAGGGAAACAAGTGGGAACAAGGGTTAACATGGGTTAACAAGGGGTAACCAGGGACACAAGGGGTAACAGGGGGAACAAGGGGTAACAAGGGGTAACATGGGGTAAGAAGGGGAACAAGGGGTAACAAAGGGGAACAAGGTGTAACATGTTGTAACAAGGGGGAATATGGGGTAACTAGGGTAACAAGGGTTAACATGGGGTAACATGGGTGTTAAACAGGGGGTAACAAGGGGTGACATGGGGTAACAAGGGTTACAAGGGGTAACGAGGGGTAACATGGGGTAACAAGGGTAACAAGTGGTTACATGGGGAAACAAGGGTAACAAGGGGTAACATAGGGTAACCAGGGGTAGCATGGGATAACAAGGGGTAACATGGGGTAACAAGGATAACGAGGGGTAACAAGGGGTAACGAGGGTTAAAAGGGGTAAGAAGGTGGAACAGGGGGTAACAAGGGGTAACATGGGTTAACAAGGGGTAACAAGGGGGGACATGGGGTAACAAGGGTAACAAGGGGTAACAAGCGGAACAATTGGTAACAATGGGAAGAAGGGGTAACAAGGGTAACGTGGGCAACAAGGGTTACAAGGGGTAACAACGGGTAACATGGGTTATGAAGGGTAACACGGGTAGCATGCTGTAATAAGGGTAACAAGGGGTGACAAGGGGTAACTTGGGGTAACAAGGGTAACAAGGGGGAACTAGGGGTAACATGGGGTAACAAGGGGTAACATGGGGTAACAAGGGGTAACAAAGGGTAACATGGGGTTACAAGGGTAACAAGGGAAACATGGGGGAACAAAGGGAATTTGGGGAACAAGGGGTAACAAGGGTAACATGGGGTAACAATAGTTACAAGTGGTAACAAGTGGTAATATGGGGGTAACAAGGGTAACAAGTTGTAACAACGGGTAACTTGGGGTAAGAAGGGTAACAAGGAGTAACAAGGGAAACAAGGGGTAACAAGGGAAGCAAGGGCTAACAAGGGAAGCAAGGGCTAACAAGGGAAGCAAGGGCTAACAAGGGGTGACAAGTGGGGGAGGGTAAACAAGGTGCAGTATGGTGTTATGGTATAGTCTCCCTTGCAGCCGTTACTAGGGTCGTTACTTAACGCTCCTTCCGAGCGTTGCGTGACGATCCTAATAACGGCTGTGAAGGAGACAAGGTACTTCTTTGGTTTGGGTTGTTTGTAGGTGTTAAGTCGTGGAAAGTGAGTTCATCCCAAGTTTGTTAGGTGTTAAGCTGACTTCGTTGTTTTTCATTAGCATGATATAAAGTCCTGCTCCTTGCATATTGCTGAGGAAGACGGTGAAGTTGACACTGATTTTCCAGGTAAGGGATGAACAGAAATTGTCAGCAATTGCTTGAAACATTTCATTTAGAGCTTAGTAGCAATAAAATCTATGGCAGTGAAAGAGATCGCCTAATAAACCTGCATGCCCGCCTGTCCTGCTCGACAATCACGAGGGACTGCGAGGAAATCGCAAATTAGACTGTTTGCACATGATGTCACGTTCATCATATTAGGCTGATTTAGCAACAGAACGGGAACGTCATTTGACGACGGGAAAGCGCGCGGAAAGGACTAAACTCGACTTCCGGTGCCAGATTTGCTGCTTAGCCATTGGTCAAGCCAATTGTTTGATTTGCGCGCGCCGTCATCAGCTGACGTTCCCGTTTTGTTGCTAAATCAGCCTATAGGTGTCCTAAATTAATCCTGTGGGAGCTGAACCGTTTTCTTATGTAAGAAAGTTCGGATCATTATACGTTTCTGGGAAACTGCCCACCTACCCCTCCCCTAAGCCAACTTTTTGTCCTAAATGGAAAGTAAGTGTTAAAGTTGGCTTAGGGGAGGGGTAAGTAGGCAGTTTCCCTGAAGCGTATAATTATCCCCTTTGGATCAAAATACGTTTTTCTTATGTAAAAACTCTCTTTTTTTTTCAATAAATTTACATAGCTGCTGACCATGTGAGTGAAAACGCTTTGTAACTGATGAAATGACTTTTACGGAGGAGGGGGGGGGGGCGGTGGGGGAGCAAAACAGGGGCAAAACAGGGGAACGCCAGTAAGCAGGGGGAAGGGTGGGAGGGTTTGTCTCCTTGTCCTTCTTTCCCCACCACTTTCCCCAACATGACACTTTGGAGACAAATAGATAACTACTGTTATACCTTTCGAACCAGAAGATTAGAACAGATGGTAATGTTTGACTGTTCTTTCTTTTAAGCTCTCGACAGCAAAGAACCGATTTCGAAATTTGATTTCCCGTGCTTGGCGTTAGTTCAGGTATTTTATTTTCTGTTAACTTTGATCTTTTTTACTACAGCCACAAAACAAACATTTCTTTAGTTTAAAACAGCTTTTTCCTTCATGGTGTCAATGATGCTGCACAATCCCGGTTCTGTCTCTGGAACCATTGGATAAATTCTTAGCAACTTCATCCCGGAGAAATAGATGCTTAGGGGAAGTGAATTAAAGTGTAAAATATTTGCTTGGTTTTCAGAAAGACGCAAGTCCTGCCAAGCCAGCACCTCCAAAACCCTCATCTGGGGTCATCATAACAGTGTAAGTATGAAAGCAGTCACATACTAGGCTTGGTTAATGGCGGGTTTTTAGCAACGACGACAGCGACAGCAGTAAGAACGTCAAAAAGCAATAGCTTTTACAGTAAGCGAAACAACAATTTTTTGACACGTAGCACCGTAGTGGTGCATTTCGTTGCCGTCATTGCACGACCGCGACGTGAAATTTCCTGATGCGACGTTTTATGGAGGACGTTAACGCACGACGAGGAATTTTTCTTTTTCTTTATATTAAACTTGATTGCGATCCCCAAAGATTCATCTCCAGGAAAATTCGTTTGTATTTGACAAAATGAGCAGGTACGGTAAAGCTTGAAAGATCGCAAAATTTAATGCATTTTCAGTGACGTTTTCCTTGTCGTCGGGTCGTCTCTCTGTTAGGGAGCTCCAGCAACGACAACGAGGACGACCAGGACGTCAGAGAACAGTTATTTTTATGATCAAAACAACAGCTCTGCACGTACATCTCGCTTTTCAGTACATTTCTTTGACCTCCAGTGCACAACTACGACGTATTACCTCCATAGGCGACGTTTTATAGAGGACGTGAGCGAACGACAACGAACGTACGTCGACGAATGTTCCTCTCTCTTTTTCAACCTGGATGAAGTCCTTAAGAATTCACTCCAGCAGACATTGACAGGTTCCAATAGACTCGACAAAGTTTGAAACGACCCAAATTCATTGTTTAGCGACGTTGTCACTGCCGTCGTCTCCCTGTATTTGGGAGCTTAAGCAAAGACGACGGCGGCGGCAACGAGAACGTCAAAAAAGCAATAGGTTTAGATTGACAAAACAATAACATTGCACGCGAACACTCCTTTTTGTACATTTTTTTGCCGTCACTGCACGACTACGACGTGTAAGTGCTTAATTTCACGTTTTATGTATTTAGGTATGAAGCACAGCATGGCTTTTCCAAAGTAAAAGTGGATAGTGTGAACGCCCAAATGAAGCGAGTGTTTGAAATAATAAAAAAGAAGAGAGGCCTTAAACGAACAGGTTCGCATTTTATGATGTTACGGGTGACAGTTCTAAGGCTAAGCTCCGTTGCCTTTTCTTCGTTTTCTTCTTCCTTCCTCACTTTCTCTTCTCTTTCTTTGATTTTCTCTTCTTCCCTCCATCCTCCTTTCCTCTTTCCCATTTCTTTCTCTCTACCTTCCGTCCACTACTCCTGTTCTATTCCTTTTTCGTACCTCTTTCCTCCCTTACCACCTCCTATCTTACCCTCCCTTCCTCTTTTCCATTAATCCCACCCTTCCTCTTTTCTTCTCTCCCCCTCTCCATCTCTCTTGCCTCTTCTCCCCTTCCTTCCTGTTCTACTTTCCTTCCACTACTCCAATTTTCTTCCCATTTCATACTCATTTCTCCCTTACCACCTCCTATCTTACCCTCCCTCCCTCTCTTCCGTTAATCCCACCCTTCCTCTTTTCTTCTCTCCCACTCTCAATCTTTCTTGCCTCATCTTCCCTTCCTTCCTGTTCTACCTTCCTTCCACTACTCCAATTTTCTTCCCATTTCATACCTATTCCTCCCTTACCAACTCCTTTCTTACCCTTCCTCTCTCTCTTCCATTAATCCCACCCTTCCTCTTTTCTTCTCTCCCTTCCTCCATCTTCCTCGCCTCATCTCCCTTTCCTTCTTGTTCTACCTTCTTTCCACTACTCCAGTTTTCTTCCCTTTCCATACCTATCCTTCCCCTACCAACTCCTATCTCACCCTCCCTCCCTCTCTTTCATTTATCCCATCCTTCCTCTTTTCTTCTTTTCCTCTTCCTCGCCTCTTCTGCCCTTCCTTCCTGTCCTACCTTCCTTCCACTACTCCAATTTTCTTCCCCTTTCATACCCATTCCTCCCTTACCAACTCCTTTCTTACCCTCCCTCCCTCTTTTCCATTTATCCCAGCCTTTCTCCTTTCCTTTCCTCCTTGCTTCGTTCATCTGTCCGAACTAACGTAGTGAAAAATTCTGAAGGATCGTTTGTAAACCTTACTTCTTATTCTAGCCAAAGAATATGTGTTGGAAAAGCAGTCAGAGCCAGGCGTCCCCATAAGTCTGGATGCAACCTTGGAGAGTATGGGAACAAAGGAGTTTTGTCTTGTCAGATTTGGTCGTAAGTGCTCTGCTCTTTAGTTTTTCAAAATTCAAATATTCAGTTAGAAATTGTAAACTAAAATTCGATCTCGTTATCTTTTTTAAAGTGTACCTTAATATGCCCCCCTCGGTGATTTTTGTGAAATCTCTCATTTTCCAAAGTGTGGCTAAGCCTTAATCTGTTTATCTTTTTTGAACGATTTGTTTTGTTTCGTTTTTTTTTTTTCAAATGACACTGTGCCTTGAACAAGTTAGCCCGTCGGTTTCATGGAAGTTTTAGCCCGCACTTTTTCATGAGCCTGAGATAGGTGGGGTGGGGGCGGTCTCCAAAATTTATTTCGGCCCTTGGTCTAAAAAGAAAAGGGCTGGGCCCCTCCCCTGGATCTGACCAGGGGAGCACTAAATTTTTGGCTTTTTTTTTTAAAGCAAAGAATTCAGATTTGAAAAACAAAAACTGAAAATGCTTTATGTGTAATTTTCAATCCATGTGAGTCAATCCTTGCCATCCGTTGCAACAGACGGGGGAAAGAGTTTCATTGCTTTAATAATTATAGCCTTAAATAACAAATCTGGATCACTATTTTTAGAATTTAGTTGATGAGAAGAAACGATTTAGCTTTTTTGAAAAGTTGGCAAGTAGCCTGTCATTAGGGGAGTTTAAGCAGCGACGTTTTAGAGGGATGCACGTCAACCGGAAGTGGAGTTTTTGTACTCTTAGGCCGTGTTTTTGAACAAATTCTTGGACAAATCGTCTCACTTTCGGTTGACGTGGTTGCTTAAACTCCCCGGGGAGGTACTTTAGGAATTTCTGGTAGGGGATGTGTCGCTGGGACCCTGGAACCCTAAACCTATACCAGTGCTAGTTCAGCTGAATTTTGCTACTGCAGGCTGCTCTAACAACTTACACTACAGTAAACACCCGCATATAAGAACAAATGGATTAAGAACACCAGGCTGAAATTCGGCCAATAAAGCCCCATTTTTATATGAACAAGATCAGCCTGAAAATTGTAACATGTACTTATAAAATGGAAAAAGTGTCATAATTACATAACATGTAAGTTTATGCTTGCTGTCAGATAACTTCATTTGCTAATATAATCAAATTAAAGAATAATTATTTATTTTATTTTCCTAAAATATGCTAAATATTCCACTAGCAGCATGTTTTGGATAGTATTACTAAATAAAAATTTAAGAACATTTTAAGATCATTTTGAGGCTGATTTGTCATTAAGCACCCGATAAATAAGAACTCAATCAGCCTGACCTCCGAAATTGTGTGTTCTAACAGTATATTTTGTACGCAACAGGGAAACCCAATGACCCAATGATCAACCATGATGACAAAATTGACTTCATCGTACCTATACAATACAGGGTGAGAGTTAATTGTTTACGTAGCAATAAGAATGCTCACAGTAGAGGCCTTAAGATTCTAAGACGTGGACAACTAAGAGAACACGATTTTCTCACTAGGAAGATTTAGAGCCACGTTTACCACAATCAGCAAGTTGAGAATTTCTCACATTAAGAGATGAGCAGATAAAAACTGTACCAAACAATTCCTTTGGATAAACCTGGTATGAAACTACTAATTTTTTTTGTAGAAGTAATGAACAGTAAACGACAATTAAACGGAAAACTTTGTCACGTGGTACATTTCCGTGTCCGCCGTTTGCCGTAAACGTGACTCTTCAATACTAAATAGTGCTCGCACGTGAGCCAGCGTCATTTGCTGTAAACGTGACTCTTCAATACTAAATAGTGCTCGCACGTGAGCCAGCGTCATTTGCTGTAAACGTGACTCTTCAATACTAAATAGTGCTCGCACGTGAGCCAGCGTCATTTTGGCGGGACAAAGTGATAGCGGTCTTCATTCTACTAACAGTAGTCATGGTGTCGGGAACAAGTTATCAAATGCTAGAAATTTTATCATTTTGCTACTGGAAGAGGGTTGAACCTCCTCCAATAAAGATAACAGTGTCTACTTTTCTGGTGAGAAAAAGTAAAGTGAAACATTCCAGGTGCCTATTTTTTGACAATACGCGAAAAACGTTAAATCAAATCTTGTACTCTTAGTACAGTCGTTCCCGTCCTCGAATCTAAAGGACTCTAGTGCTTGACATAAGAGAGTTTAAGATTCACGTTTACGCCAAGCGACAATCGTGGATTTGTACCTCGTGACCAAGTTTTCCTCTTAATTTCCGTTTACTGTTTATAACTTCTACACAAAAATAAGTAGTTTCACGCCAGTTTTATTCATAAGAATTGTTCTGGACAGGTTTTAACTGCTTACTTTTTATTCTGAGAAATTCTCAACTAGAATCTGACGTTTGCCGTTTGCCGTAAACGTGATTCTTAATCTCTCTGTTGGACAACAAATACCGCGGCTTAAAAAAACTTTCTGAAAGAACAGCCTTTCGTTGGAACAGAAGTCAGAGGTTAAACGCATTATCGCTTGTGCGCTAATGTTTGCATCTTAGTTTAAGTCATTAAACCTGTGGTTTCTAACACTCGAAAGCCTTAGAATAAAGAAAAAAAATGTTCTTTATTTGAGTGTCAAAGTATTTAGCACGAAAGTACTAATACTGATAACACTGTTTTTACGTTCCTCTTACGTAATCATGTAGGAGTATCTAATTTAGGATTATTGCTCGTCCCCCACTGGATGGGATGCTTATGTCGCTGGAACCCATTTATATTCCAGGGTGGAGTCAGACGTCGTCTAGCAAAGGTTTTAGGAAACAGCGCGACGGCGCGGCCTACAGATTACCTATCCCCCTTTCTTTTTTTTTTCTTTATTATACTCATCAAACGTTTTTTCTGATTTGAATCCTTAGCCTTATCTTGTCAGTATGTTACAGAAACTTCGACCAGTTACAGCAGTTCAGTTAGGTAAGTTTTAGAACTGTTAAGTAAAATTCCTAATGCAGTTAAGGAACCTGCCTTGTCCCTAGGCCCCTTCTCAAAGTGGTAGCAAGAGAAAGCCTGTGGCGAGTGGGGGAAAGAGGAAAAAGGGAAAAGGCTAGCCGAAGGGGAGGGGGGAAGGGCCCCGTTTCCCCCCTCTTCCCATCTCCTGGCGGTAATTAGCTGTAGGAGGTGGGGCATTCCTCACTTCCCCTATTCCCATCTCTTTACGATAATTAGCTGTAGGGGGCGCGGGGAGGAGGGCCCCATTTCCACACTTCCCCCTCTTCCCATCTCTTTGGGTTAATTAGCCCTTTCCCCAAACGGAGAGCCTGTTCCCAGGTTAGGAAACCTGTGGACAACGTTGCGCATTGGTTTCAAAGATAATGAAGATTATATATCTAGAAAACCAACCTAACGAAATTTGCAGTCATTTGACTGAAAAGGCGTCAAAAGGCAGGTTTCTTAAGCCCGAGAAGCTTCAAAATCACAGTAACGAAGGAAAAGGAAAGGAGAAAGAGGAAGAGCGAGGAGAAGGAAAGGAGGAGAAGAAAAAAAAGCAATGGTTGCACTCTTAGTTTTTATAATAGCTACTTTGGAGATAGTTTTTGGCCGAAAAAACTGTTGGACGCAAAAGGTCTATTTCAAAAATCCAGCTAGATACATTTATTTTTTCACGATAAGATAGCTTGTGAGGAGGCTGTTGAGGCAATTTTTAGTCTGAGGCAGTTGTGCTAGCTTTCTTGCAATCAAAAACAATTTTTCAGAGAAGTGAAGTAACACATTTCGCTAGTTTCGTTATAGGCTGAAGTGATTCTAGAGAATTATAACGGTTCGCTACTTTGAACTTGAGAAGGAACTGGTTTCCTTTTGTTAATAAATTATTTAGCATTACTTGTTCTTCTTGATTAGGGATTTCTCTCGAGAAAATAGAAATTGACCCAGTTCTTCAACCTAATGCAGCAAATAGGTTTTGGAGGAAGCAAAAGCCGGTAAGTATTTTCTGAGGCAAATATTCCAGCATATAACGCCCTGGGGGTGGGGGGAAACTCTGGATTTCAAGTGACGAATGGGGCATAAAATCAAATCAAAATCAAAAAAAATATCCCTGGGGCCTCTAACAAAACCCCAAAAACCCAGGACCAAAAATTAACCCAAAACAAAATCCCATACCGAGTTTCCAAGCCTTAAAATTTCCAGAAAGCATCAAATGATACAACTTGCTGTACTTTTATTTGGTTGTTCTTTAGTCGCAGAACTACGCAGCCGGGATACGCGGGCACTACCATGAATCTTCAGATTGTTTTGAACACCCCAAAAATGCCTACTTGAATCAAGCCACCGGAAAAAATACTTGCCCTAAAAATCCCAGAATCGAAAATTCCAAACCCCAAAAATCCTTCGATCATCCCCCGTTTCCCGTGGGCTTTCCATGAGCAATTTACTACAGGAACAGTGTCAGGAAATTTATCAAAATTCAGACAGTGGGAACCGTCACCAAACCCCGGATTTCTTTCATAAACTCACTTCAAAACCACCCTCTTCAAAGACTTGCTATATTTTTCAGACGACCATAGAAATGGAGAATGTTGTCGACTGCCAGTTAATGGAAGAAAAAAGCAATGGAAAATCTCTGTTTAGAGTTATTTACTTCAGCCAGAACGCTCGTGACTTCAAGCACTACGACTTTGAAGCAGAATCCGACATGTCTGGTAAGTGCTTCGGCGTCTTGCTGGGTTGATCCTTTGTGAAGCATTGTATAGGTACACCACTGCAAAACCCGCTCTGGATTGGTTACTTTCAAACCTTTGTTTACATAAAGCACCTTCTGATTGGATAGTAACGAAAGTCTGATCTTATGACGAGCGACGGAGTTTACTGGCCCCCGCCCCCTAAGAAGATTTGACGCTCATCCCCAGACAGACTCGGAACATTTGAAACTAAGTTGGCCGCCTATAACGTAAGCCGTTCGATCTGGACGATCCTACGGCAAAAGAGAGGACTGGGACTGTTAACAGTCTACAAATCATTTTCTGTTTTCATTTCTTTGTAGGAGAGATAGTCAAACAGGTCAATCACATTATCAGATCCAAAATAGGCGGAGTAAGGTCCGAATACCTGGCTACGAAGGAGAAGAAACTCGAAAAAAGAAGGTCCTTTAGGTATTAATCCTCTCGCCGGATTGGCTATGCAAATCAGAGTCAACTGGAATCAGTGGGTGTGTGAAGGAAGACCACCATTCGCCACTTTAGAAACGCGAGGGAACTGGAGCCGGAATACGTCCCGCAGTTGTTTCTGGGATCGTTACTGGGGACGCACCGGTCAGCTATTGGCCAATTTTTCCCTGTCCCCTGCGAAAGTTAACTCGGCTCAGTTTTCTTTTCCTTTTTAAATTGGCTAGTGGAAAGGAAATATCGCAATCGCTGCCTGGAGTAAGCTTCCCTGGTATGCGGCCATTATTTAAATCGTAACGCAACTCACCTACAAAAGGTGGTAAAACACTGCGCAACGGCTCGCCTTCCTCAGTGAATTGTTTAATACGAGGATTTTTGTAGACGCGGATGATCCTTTTCCATCTACTTATAATGTTGATTGTAGGAAAGATAACCTCTGTGGAAAATGTCAACTTGAAAATAGATTCATACAGGCCATTTCCGAGTTCCAAAAACTCTCACTTTCAAAACGAGGCTTATTGCAAAAACCTTTGCTGTGAAAATGAGTTTTGATTTGCATGACAATGAAAAAGCAATGCCATATCAATGGCTACGCACTCAGCCTCGTTTTGAACAAAATGGCAAATGAAAACTGGAAAATAAAAATAGAGTCGTCTTGTATCCCCGTCCTCCAAATAACGTGAAATTAGGCAATTTCAAATCGTAGTCGTAAAGTGACGGCAAAGAAATTGCCTAAGCTCGCTATTATATTAACGATATTTAGAAACGATTAAGGATGACGACGTTGATCATAAAAAATCGTGCATCATTCCTTTCTAATTTAAAATTAATATTTTCGTGAGGTTTATCAATCGATTCGCCTGAAAATTCTACCTAAAGTCAGACTGTTATGTCTTTCAAAAATGACAATTACAGAAAACTGAGAACTTTTAATTTATAGGTTACAGCTGTACGAGGTTATCTGCATAATATTGTTTTTAGATTAAAGTTCTAAGTTCTGCCAATTTTTTGTCACCCAAATAACACTGCAATTTATAATACAAATCGAACAGCAAAAGTTTCATTACGTTTGGAGTTTTTTTTTATGTAATACAGGACGAATAAGAACATAAAAACGAATAAATCAGGAGACAAACAAAAAGTTTAGGTCTATCGTTTAAACATGACAAGGAAAACCGTTATAACTTCCTCCACGATGCGTATACAGACTAGAAAGGTCATGTCATTTTTCAAAGGCTGGATCAAGTTAGTAAAAATTAACCTTCTTGAATCCATTCTGACTTGCCGAATACGTCGCGCAGAATGTTCTTGATAGCGCATCGGATGTGTCTAAACTTCCAGTAAACCCGAGGAAAAGGGATGAACTCAAATATAACAGCGTCCGAGTGTAAATTAAGAAATGTTCTCTCATTTTCTTCACCTGTCCGACCAGGATCACTAGCGATTGGCAAGTGGCCCAACCAAAACAACAGATGGACTTGTTTAGCCTTCCTGAATCTGATTCTGTCTTGCGAATATGTCGCGCAGAATGTTCTTGATAGCGCATCGGATGTGTCTAAACTTCCAGCAGTAAACCAGAGGAACGAGTGATGAACTCAAATATAACAGCGTCTCAGCGTAAATCATCAAAAGTCGTCTCTTCTTACCCTCTTTCGTCCGGTCAGGATCACAATAGCGATTGGTAAATGGCAGGCCAAAAAACAACAGATAGACGTAAAATGTACCAACTGCTGTTTTTCTCAGTCTTTCGAAATTTGAGCGATTTTCTTCGTTCGGTGCCACTGCTTGAGCTGGCTGTGCATGAACTTGAACGGTGCGACGCACGGCTATGTAAATCTTGAAATAGATTAGAGCCATGGTCAATAAGCAAGCCATTCCCGCAGCTACCCTGCAATGTTACAAACCATATTCACTGTTTAAAACACCGCTCAGAGCCAGGAACGCACTTGAGAATCCAGCTTAAGATCACTGTAGCCAAACACGCTTGTAAGTCACAATTTCTTGGTACGTGAGAAGGTCCTGGTGTTTGAGGTGAAGGTGGATAGCAAGGAATCTGTCAACGCTGATAGTTGTGACACGAAGAATGAGACATAACCAAGGGTTCGTCCTATGGTTCTAACCACGTCCTCATAAGTCTCGTTCCAGTGGTGGTTAGT